TACTACAGGGCGATGCATAGAGTGCGGCTGGGCTGCCTGTTCACACATCTCCAAGTTGCCCCGCAGGCTCTGGGCTGGTGGAGGTGGCAGTCTGCAGCCTGCAGGATGTGCCTCGCTGGTGCCTGGGCCAGGTCAGGCTCTGCCCACCCCACTTGCTGGATAAGTGCACAGGCTCAGAGGAGCCTCACAGATGATCCAGACCCAGGCGCTTCACACCCGGGGACGCGGAGACCCCAGGGAGGCCAGGGCAGTGACACCCATTTGCAGTTGTTTGGAGGTCGGTGGGGGACCAGCACCTGCCAGCCTGGATCATGCCGTGCTCCATGGGATGCACGGGCAGAGGCAGAGAGGAGTGGCCCCCGCCTCGGTCCGTCTCTGGTCCTGGCTCTTGATCTGAGCAATGCTCTGGGGTCGTGGCTGGGTCCACTGTGGGCTCCCACGCCACGGTCTGCGAACTGGCCTGTTGCCTTTCGGACCTCAGGGGACTGGAGGAGGGGAGCTTGCTCCAAGTCGCTTCCCTTCTTCAGGAAAGCCTCAGCCTGCAGGGTGCAGGGGAGTGGAGAGGCCGGGAGGCCAGAAGCCATGCCTGGGTCTCGGGGCCTCCATCTGCAACCTGGAGGGATGGTAGCTGCCAACTCACTTCCTTGGGCGGGACGCAAGCTGAGGCGCCATTTGTGAGTGCCTCTGGGGCCGGCGAGGGCTGAGACCGGCAGGACCGCCCCTCCTCACAGCGCTGTCGGCGCCCAGCCCTGCCAGGTGAGGAAGCCGAAGCTCGGCGGGCAGCCCGGGTGCAGGGAAGCTGGCATTTAAACCCAGGCCGCCTGCCTCCTGAGTGCAATTACCAGGCATTGGTTTTTCACGCTTGCAGATGGCGCCAACTTCACAGAGCTCTATTTCATATTAACAGTAATGCTAAGCTGTCCACTCATGGCCCTGACTTTTTTAATAAGGAAAATGATGGATTACTAACATCACAGTAAGTTGAGATGATCTTGCTGGGCATTTGACCCAAGCCTGGAGCCATGTGGCCTTCTCCTGGCTTCCTGGGACTCAGAGCATGCTGAGTGCGGGGCCAAGGGGGTGGAAAGGGAGTAGGGGCCCTGCACAGCAGCCTTGGGAGGAAGCCTCTTCCAGGGCCCTGTCTCCTGTCCAAGTACTAACCAGGCTGGACGAGAGCAGACGAGAGCGGGTGTGTTCAGGGTGGCGTGGCCGGGGACCCCGGAATCCTTTCTGAGCTGGTGCCAAAGGTCCCATCTGCCCCACCCTAGCACTCCGCCCAGAGCTCACTTTGCTCCCCACTAGGAGAAACGGGTGTGTGTGTGTGTGTGTGTGGGACCAAATGAGAGCCTGGGGGCCTGTGTGTTGTGAAATACGAAAGGCAAGCAGTACAAGGCTTCCTGGGCACAGCTGCTACCGTTCGGCTCCTCCCTGGGTACCAAGCCCCACAGCAGACCCTTCCTGCGTGACAACCATCGGTTCCCCATGGTGGCCCTTCTGCGAGACGGGAGCTGCCCTCCTCCTGTTACCACGAGGAGGCGGAAGCTCACATGGTCAAGGTGCCTTGTCCAGGGTGTGGGCAAGTGCTCAGGTGGCCGGCACCTTGTTCGGTGCCAGCCCGAGGCCTTAGAGCCTGAGCCTACCCCACCCCCATCCCCATACACTCGCTCCCCTCTCTCGCTCTGCTCCTGCCTCTCAGGCCTCCTTGCTCTTCCTGGACTTCCCAAGAGCCCTGTGTCCGCTGCTCCCCTGCCAGCACTCACCAGAGGCAAGGGTCACCTCCTCTCTGGACAGCAGCTGCTGGACGCATCCTTCTCTGGCGTTACCATTCAGTGCCCACTGTGTCCCCGAGTTCTCCTCTTTTAAAATGATGGCTTTGTCCTCTGAGCCCTTTCTCATGCTGGTGACCAGAGCTGCCACTCCCTGGGCTATTTATGGGGAAATGCGTATCCCGGCCGGACAGCATCAAGATGTACTCTGCAGATTTGTGGGTATCCTTGTGGGTTTCTCCAGTTGTGACCTGATGATCAGTAAGTCACCCCTAATACATTGCGGATTGCTCTGATCAAATCCTGCTGCGGGTGGTGGAGCTGGAGAGAGGTTCTGGGCCAAAGCACCTTGGTGTTTCCTGTCCTCATGGGGACCCTGACCCTTCTGCCCAGCTCCGTTCTTTAGCAAAAGCTCCTGATGTGAGCTGTAGGGGAGATGAGGTGCCTCGGCCTAGACAAGCAGCCAGTACGTGCACCTGAGGTTTCCAGAGACCTGTGAGGGCCAGGGGAGCCTCACCTGGTGGCCTGGGCAAGAACACCAACCTTCCTGCTGTGTAATGCTCAGGGGGTACCCTTCATTTATTTATAATTTTAAAGGAGTGTTTATTTTGGGCAGGTGTTTTGTACAGCAGTCAAGTTGCTGCCTGGGACGCCTGCATCCCATATCAAAGTGCCTTGTTCCAGTTCCTGCTATGTGCATCCTGGGAGGCGTGGATGTTGGCTCAAGAACTTGAGTCCCGGCCAGCGCCGTGGCTCAATAGGCTAATCCTCCGCCTAGCAGCGCCGGCACACCAGGTTCTAGTCCCGGTCGGGGTGCCGGATTCTGTCCTGGTTGCCCCTCTTCCAGGCCAGCTCTCTGCTGGGGCTCGGGAGTGCAGTGGAGGATGGCCCAAGTGCTTGGGCCCTACACCCGCATGGGAGACCAGGAGAAGCACCTGGCTCCTGGCTTCGGATCAGCGCGATGCGCCGGCCGCAGCGCGCCGGCAGCAGTGGCCATTAGAGGGTGAACCAACGGCAAAAAGGAAGACCTTTCTCTCTGTCTCTCTCACACTATCCACTCTGCCTGTCAAAAAAAAAAAAAAAAAAAAAAAAAAAAAAAAAAGAAAGAAAAAAGAACTTGAGTCCCTGCCCCCAACATGGGAGACGTGGATGGAATTCTGGGCTCCTGGCTTCAATCTGGCTGAACCCTGTTTTTTTGTTTTAGGCATTAAGGGAGTGAGCCAGCAGACAGAAGATCTCTCTCTGTCCCTCTGCCTCTGAAAGGAAACAACTTTTTAAAGTTTCTTTCTTCATTTATCTGAGAGGTGGGGGCAGGGGGTAGGGAGAGTGCTCCCATCTACTGGTTTACTCACTCCAGTTGGCCCACGTGGCTGGGGCTGGGCCAGGTCAAAGCCAGGAGCTCGGAACTCAATCCAGGTCCCACATGTGAGTGGCAAGAACCCAAATACTTTGAGCCATTGCCTGCTGCCTCCCAGGGTCTGCATTAGCAGGGAGCTAGAGTTAGGAGCTGCTGCCAGGTATTGAACCCAGGCACTCTGATATGGGACAAGGGTGTCCCAAGTGGTGTAATAACTGCTAGGCTAAGCAGCACTCTCACCCTTAATTTGTGTAGCATGAGCAACACAGCAGCTCCCTAGGGGGAAGCCGGGAGCCAAAGGGTCCACAGACACACAAGTGCCTCCAGGACCCAGTGGGCTGTTCAGCAGACCTGCTGCAGAGTGGAGTCCCAACAGAGCACCTTGTAGGGGACCCTAGGTCTCCTAGGCAGGCTGGCTCAGTCCTAGTTACTCCAAAGCCCAGGACCGGTGTGTTCCTGGCATGGGAGAGGGAAGTCACTGAAGATGCTGGCTGCCTGGGACGAGGCCGGCAGGGAGGCACTCATCTGGCACAGGGTTTGCAAGGCCTGGGAAGGGCTAGCCAACCACACACACCAGTGAGGTCAGCCGGGCCCTTCCACTCGGCCTCCCCGTCTCCTGGCATGTATGAGAGCATCCGGCTGGCCCAGTCCCCTCAAAGGTCAGGCCTTTGCTGGAGTCAGCCAGGAAGTCTGGGTCCAACCCAGCAGGAAGGGCAGCCCTGAGCCCTTCTGCTGCCTGGTGGCCTTGCCCGTACCATTCAGGTGGGACAGACACAGGAGGGGAGCAAGCAGGGAGCCCGGCTTCCGGAGGCAGCTCCTTCCCTTAATAAAGTAATTACGGAGCTGGCTAATTTGCATCCCTAGAAAGATGCGGGGCGACCGCAGGCCGGGGTGTGCGTGTGTTTAATTTTATCTCCTCCAACCTCCTCCTAATGAGGAGGTGCCTTGAAGTACAACAGAATCCTGGGATTCTTCAAAGGCTTCACTTTCTCGGCGCTTTATTTCTTTAAGGGGAAGCAGGAGAGACAGATGAGGAGTGGCAGGAGCAGGGGCGGCTTTGCCTCCCCCGCCCGTGTTGTGCAGGCATTATCTGCTGTAAAGCTGTCGCTGGAGGATGGAGAACCGGTTCTTGGCTGCAGTGGCCCTCAGATAATGTCAGCGCTGAGCGATGGCCTGGGATCCGTTGGCACTGAGCAGCCCTTTCTAGGCGGCTGCTGCCAGAATCCTGAGTTAGCTGAGCCTGGTCAGTGTGCAGCTGCCAGGGGGAAGGAGGCCCATGGGCAGGAGGGCTCCAGAGCTTCTGTTAATGTTAGTGTCCTGTTGAAGCCCCCGAGGACCCTGGAAAAAGGCGGAGAGTGGTCCAGTAGGCCTGGGGTGGGCTTGCTATTGGACACAAATGCGGTTTTAGTGGAGAGACCCTAGGGAAGGCAGACACTGGCTTCTCTGCGTCCTGCCAAGTGGCTGAGCTAAAGAGAACCCAAGGGGCTTGGTCTTGTCCGCTAAGCCCCGGCTGCCCTGGAAAGGGAGGGCCGTGGGGACTTTCGGAGGGTCGGGAACTCTCTGGGCTCTGCAGACAGGGAGAAACAGCATGGAGGCAGGTGGCCTGTCACTTGGGGGTGGCATAGGGTTTTGCCTCTTCCTCCCTGTTGGGTTTACCTTTCTGTGGCTGTGCAGGTCAGGCCTCTAGGAGAACCGAGTTTGTAGACCTTGACTCCCAAGCGGGTATCCCGGCTGCAGGGGGAAGGCAAGCTCACTGCTTGAAGCCCCTGCTCTGCCTCGGGGTGGGCCACAGGGAGTGGATTGGGGTAGGTCCCTTTTGGCCTCCCCTCCTCCCCTGTGTGGCCAGCTCATGGACCCCTGCTCACCTGGCTTCGCAGGTCCCTGGATGAGAAGGAGCTGACGGCGGCTGGGTCCCACCTTCTCTGTGCTCGGGGGAGCAGGGCTGCGTGGCCCAGGTGGCACTAATGCCGAAGAACAGCAAAGTGACCCAGCGGGAACACAGCAATGAGCATGTCACCGAGTCGGTGGCCGACCTGCTGGCCCTCGAGGAGCCCGTGGACTATAAGCAGAGCGTGCTGAATGTGGCCAGTGAGGCGGGCAGCAAGCAGAAGGCAGCGGAGGAGGAGCTGGACGCCGAGGACCGGCCGGCCTGGAACAGCAAGCTGCAGTACATCCTGGCCCAGATTGGCTTCTCTGTGGGCCTCGGGAACATCTGGAGGTTCCCCTACCTGTGCCAGAAGAATGGAGGTGGTGAGTGCCGGCCCTGTGTGCCCCTGGGTGTGCCCTGGAAGTGGGGCGGGCAGAATGGGAGCCCTTGTAGCTGAAGCTCAGGCCTCCAGGGTAGAACTGCCTGGGAAGAGCTGTAACCACTGCTGAGAGCCCACAGGAAGCCTCCATGTTCCTCATCTGTGAAATGGGGGTAAGAGTAGCTCCCGCCTCACGGGGTGGCTGGGAGGGTTAAATGAGCTATACCCGTAGAATGGCTGACACAGTAAAGGTGATGTTGGCCGTTATGATCAGATACCTTCGAGGTGCTGGGAGTTGCTCTGAGCAGTTGACAGATGTTGAATATCTGGAAGTGCAGAGAGGTGAGCATCTCGGGACAGACAACCAAAGCACTAGTTTCATCTGGTCCCACGTTCAAATCTCCCCACAACCCTAGGTGAGGGAGGTGTCGTTCTCACTCTCGTTTTTGAGTGTAAACCAAGGCACACATTGGTTGGGTGCCTTGTTCAAGGTCGTGTGTGATCCAGGTCGACAGCTGGTGGTCAAGTCCAGCTCCAGCCTGGCCCCTAGGCCTTTACCAGCCCCATGGCTCCCTGAGGGAGGGGCCCTGGCCCAGCATCAAACTGCTGCCACCATTTGCAGCCCCCCCCTCCATGGTGGGCAGAAGCCCCCCAGGGATGTCTCTCCTGCACCTCTGAGGTAGGTTGGAATTTGCAAAGGCAACTGGCTCTGAAGCCAGGGGACCACTAACTGAGAAAGAAAATCCTGACAGGCTGGAGCCGGGGTTTGCCAGCCCAGCCCTGTGGTCCTGGGAAAGCTGCAGAGAGCTCTGTGCCCTGGGATCACCACACTCCAGCCTGTGGCGGGGCCCTGGCTTTGCTTCCCTCCCTGCTCTGCGGGGCTCCCAAAGACACAGCCCCGTTCAGAGGTGCTCCTGCCTCTCCCTGCTGCACGCAGGACACCTGCTTGGGGCTTCTGCTCCCCAGTTTCTATTGAGGAGCAGGGAGCCTGGATGATCAAGAGGCCAGGGGCTTCCGTCTCTCTGCCGTAGCACGGTGTAAGTTAGATGGGCACCTTGCTTTGCTGGATTTCCCCCCAACCCCAATAAGTAACTGCCAATCAGAGCTCTGGTCTGCACAGCATGGTTGCTGAGCTGCTGTCAGACCCGCGAAGCGAAGGCATAGACATAGGCGTGTGGTTTCCTTAAACTCCAGGAGGTGTTGAGCGTGCCAGGGCACACAGACAGCCTGAGGACATGTGACGTTTGGGGACTTAACAGCAACCTCTGGCTTCATCCTCTTTGGCTCAGAATCACAGAGCACCCTCTCTACCCCACACACGCATGCACACACAGGGCAGTGTTCCTGCCACACACTGCCCGGCCATTGGGTCAGCAGGCCATTGCCAAGGCATCGGACACCATGAACAACCCCCATGAGGAAAGCCTCATCCACCCTCAGGCTCTGGGCTCCCCGTTCCCTGCTCCTGCCTCTGATTAAGCGCACGACCTGCTCATGTAGCCTGAAGACCCCTGAGCACTGCTTAGCCTGGCCTTGGTCTAGTTGACAAACTGCTGTTCAGCCAGCGCCCTGTGGATGGGGCCAGTGGCGGCTGCCCCACCTGGACGTCGCCCAGGATCATTCTTGGCTGCACCTGCCTGGCTGCACCTGCTTGGAGGCTTTCCCGGGTTCTCTGGGGGGGGAGGGGAGCAGCATCCACAGAAGATGCCAACCTGCTTTGCCAACGCCCTATGTCCATCTGCCTGTGCATCCTGCCCCACCCATGGACACAGGCAAAATGCAAACCCAGCGAATCTGTCTCCTCTCACCTCCCTGCAGCAGATCACTTTTCTCCTCTTAGATTTCCCCGCGTGTGAGACCAGGAGGCGGAGTTAGAGATAGTCCCCGGGGTCTAAGCATGTGGTCTCTCAGGCTCTCGCTCTCTGAGCACTGCTTGTGAGTGGCAAATTGAACCAGGCCATGCATGTGCGTTTAGGGAGTAGGCTCGGTGTGAGGTTTGGTGGGTTGCCTCACCCTGCTCAGCTCCACTGGGCCCAGCCCCTCCCTCGGCATGCACCGTGCGCTCAGTCACCCTGTGTGGCTGTGTTCGTGGGTGCAGTGCAGGTGCACTGCTCGTGGGAGGCTGAGGGTCTGCCTCCTCAGATCGTGAGCCCCCCCAGATGGTGGCTGTGCCTTCTGTCACTGCTGCCCTTGTCTGGCACAAGCAGGCCTGCAGTGGACAGCTCACTGTGGCTAAGTGCCAGGATTCATGCCCAGGAATGCCTGGCGGCATGTGGGATGTGATGTTCTGGCACTTGGGGAATATGGCAGAGCCCCACATTTGCTAGCCTTGTCCTGGGGGTGCCGGGTGAGCCTCGGGGCCCTGGTGGCCAGGGCTGGCCTTTTGACAGGCAGGCAGGGCCGTGCTGACAGTGTTGCTAACGGGACTAGGTTGTTGGCATGGCTGTCAGCGGGGCGCACTCGTCTGTGTCCAGGCGTGGCTTTAATTCTCCTGCTAAATGCCCTGTCACTCGGACTTGAGACCGTGTCTCAGTGAGGCTCAGGACAGACTCATTTATCACCCGGAATCTTTAGCGAGATCCGTTTTATCCTTTATGATCCTCCTGGCTACGCTTTCCTGCACCGCTAATGTCTCACCCGTTCCTCCCAATTAGCTATGGATTAATGGTGGTGCTGGTCAGACCTCCTCTCTCATGGAGCTGCCCAGTCTGCTGTGTGAGCGTTTCGCTCAGGCGTGGAGGAGGCAGAGCTAGCGGGGGCAGGGGCCAGGCCAACGCCATCTGGGGCTGCTTCTCTGTGGGTGGCTGGAGGCTGTGAACAGGTGTTCACTGACGACCACATCCGCCTGCGTGGGATCTAACGTGTGGGTTCCAGAGGCAGTGCAATGTCTGTCTGTCTTGGAGCTTAGCCTTGTGGGCAGGAGCCATTGGCGGTCATGCACTTCCTTTCTTAGCATTTCATGTCAGGGCAATCATGGGAGAGACGAGTGTCTGCCTGGATCGGGGTAGCATGGTCACGTGTGTGATCTGGCTCCGTCATGGAGGAGCCTTAGGATGGTGACAATGGCTGGATGATCCGAGATGTGGCTGAGACTGCAGGACATGCAGCCACCTCTCCCTCGCCCTGTTGCATGCTCTAGACACCCTCTGATATCCCCCCTCCTCCTCCAGGTGCGTACCTGGTGCCCTACCTGGTGCTGCTGATCATCATCGGGATCCCCCTCTTCTTCCTGGAGCTGGCCGTGGGCCAGAGGATCCGCCGGGGCAGCATCGGGGTGTGGCACTACGTGTGCCCCCGCCTGGGTGGCATCGGCTTCTCCAGCTGCATTGTGAGTCCAGGGCTGGGTGGGAGGTGAGGCCCCTTGTGGCTGCCAGGGACAGGGTTGCCAGTGTACGGGCTAGGGGGCTGGGCCAGGACAGGGGCAGCAAGGGGACCCTCAACGTGAGACTCGCTTCCAGCTGGTGTGTCGGGGCCACAGTCACCTATCCCAGGCTGCCAGCTGACCGCACTGCCTGCAAGGGTGCGTGATGTTGGCAGGTGGTGTGAGGAGGAAAAGCTGGGATATGCTCTCGAGGGAGGCCCAGGGCAACTGAGCCAGGATTCCCCTGGAGCTGGTGTGGCCACCGCTCTCTGCTTCCCAGCCTATTGGCTCTCCGACTAGAGACGTCCTTCCTCTTTCCTTGGGCAGAGGGTGTTTTAATTGGGCAAGTAGCCATTCTATTTGTAAAGGCAGTCCTGGGGCCCAGGGTCTCCTTGACATTTTGCTGTGGGAATGAGCACAATTGGAGGATTCAGACCACCCAGGAGGTCAACCCCAGGAGGGGTGAGGGCTTCAGAACAATGGGAGACAGGGTGACCCACTGGCCCTGGCTGGGAACTCCAGCTCCGGGCACAGGTAGAGGAAGCCTTGCTTAGAGCAATGGGCGAGGCGACTGAGTACCCGCTGGGCCGGAGACCACAACTGCCTGTGCTCACACCGGGGATGAAGAAGACTGGCACCTGCTCCTGGAAGGGACCAGGAGTGCTGTCAGCCTGGCAGCCCGGCCAGCCCACACCCGCCCCAGGCAGCGACTGGGAGAAGGGGTTCAGCCCTCTGCTCTCGTGCAAGGCATCACCTTTGCCAAAGGCAGCACACCGTGCCAGGGCTGGCTGTGTGTGCCTGCTCTCCCGGGGGACCGAAAGTACCCTAGAACAGGAAGCAGGTGTCTCTCTCTGTCTGTACTCCCCGTAAGCACTGATGTCGGAGCATCCGCTCCTGCACACAGGTGCTCGGGGGAAACGGATGAAGCCAGGGCTCCCAGCTGTCACAGTGCAGGAGTCTCAGTGGGGTGTGAGGCAGCCGGGCCCCTGTGGGGGAGCTCTCAGGATCCCTGGTGGGGGCAGCAAATCTCTCTTCGTGTGAAAACGACTTTCAAAGAAGCCCCTTGAGGAGCTTACGTCCCACGCCAGGGTGCCTGGGTTGGATCCCCAGCTCTGGCTCCTGACTCCAGCTTCCTGCTGATGCAGGCCCTGGGAGGCAGGGGCGACGGCTCAAGCAGTCGGATCCCTGATACCCATGTTGAGACTTGGATAGAGCTCTGGCTCCCAGCCCCAACCCTGGCCTGGCCCTGGCCATTGGGGGCATTTGGGGAGTGGATCTGTAAATGGGAACTCTCCCTCTCTCTCAGGAAACAATAAAATAATAAAAAATTCACAACGAGCTCCTTGAACTCTCAGACTCCATGTACTCATATATTATTTTTAAAAATATTTATTTTTCTGCAAGAGAGGGGAAGACAGAGAGACAGAGACTGACTGACAGTTTGATTCACTCCCCACATGCTCACAATTTCCAGGGCTGGCCCAGCCAAAGCCATGAAGCAGGACCTCAGTCTAGGTCTCTTACAGGAGTGGCAGACCCCCAACTACATGAGCCATCACCCACTCTCTCCCAGGATGCCCATTAGCAGGGAGCTGGAATTGGGAGCAGAGCCAAGACTCGAACTCAGGTCTTGTGACATGGGATGCAGGTGTCTCCATCTGGCATCTTTTTTTTTTTTTTAATTTATTTGAAAGACAGAGTCACAGAGAGGGGTAGAGGCAGAGAGAGAGAGAGAGAGAGAGGTCTTCCACCTGCTGGTCCACTCCCCAGAAGGCTGCAACAGCCAGATCTGGGCGCATCTGAAGCCAGGAGCCAGGAGCTTCCTCTGGGCCTCCCAAGAGTGTGTAGGGCACAAGGACTTGGACCATCTTCCACTGCCTTCCCAGGCCATCACAGAGAGCTGGATCGGAAGTGGAGCAGCCGGGATTCGAACCGGTGCCCATATGGGATACCGGCACTGCAGGTGGCAACTTTACCCACGACACCACAGCACCAGCCCCTCCACCTGGCATCTTAGCTAATGTGCCAGACACCTGCCCCATGTATTCCTATTTTGACTAAAATTCTGTCAGCGTTAGCTGTTGCAGAGCCAAGAAATGAAAGTGATGTCTTTCTTGAGGTAGGCTGCTAGTGTACTGAAGACAGAGTAGTATCCTGAGAAGGGAGGACCCAGAACGCCGGAAGCAGCAGCCCCCAAATCTCAAATCACCCAGCAGCCCGGGGCTGCTCACTGTGAGGGCATCGCTGTAACCGCCATCCTGAGTCATCAGGGGATGATGGGGCAGCCCTCGGGTATCTCAGCGGCCTTTCCAGCGGGAAGGGCTTAGCATTGTAAGCGTTTGTAGCTTAAGGGACAGAACTTCAGTATCTGAAGAATTCCTCTAGGGGATGCCTGGAGGCTCCGTGCAGCCCTCAGCAGCTTCCTTCAAGGCCGGGCGGCTGGGCCTGGGTTGCAGAGCCGGGCGTGGGTGGGGCTGGGGGCAGCGGCCGTGACCCCGCCTGGGCCGTGTCCTCAGGTCTGCCTCTTTGTTGGGCTGTACTACAACGTGATCATTGGTTGGAGCATCTTCTACTTCTTCAAGTCCTTCCAGTACCCGCTGCCCTGGAGCGAGTGTCCTGTTGTCAGGAACGGGACCATGGCAGGCAAGTCGGGGGGCCTGAGGGACCCCAGCGGGCATCTCTGCCAGCCCTGGCCCAGGAGGGAGCCTGGCAGGCATAGCCTGGGGATGCGGGATTTCACGGCCTATGTGTGCGTGGCATCCCTGAGCCTCGCTTCCCTGCGCTCCTGCAGGGTTGGATAACATCGCTAGCCTAGGGAGAACCCTGCAAACTGTCACTTTTATTTAATTGTTACGAAGCACTCCATGCTGTTCTCACACTGCACTGTCTGGGAACAATCTCCCCATGCGTGCCAGGCTCATAGAGGGCTGGCTGATTGCCCACTTCACAGACAGCAAAACTGAGGCCCAGAAGCAATCACCCACACCCATGCTACCCATTTAACTGGTGATCTGGGATGAGAATCCAGGTCTGCAGCTCCCAGGTCAAGACCTTCCCCAAGGACCTTGAGGCCAACTCAGACTAATCCCTCCTACCTTCCGGTGATGGGCGGTGGCAGAGGGTGCCAGGGGGGTTGCCATGGGTGCGAATTCAGCCTGGTCAGTGTGTCCCAAGCCTCCAGGCCCGTGGGGAGCTGCAGATTCCTCGGGCTGTCATCTAGAGTGAGCACAGCCCTCCCAGCGGTCCACCCGCGCTCCCCCGCACTGCTGCCTGGGAGGGCGGCCCCGCGGGACGTGTGCTGAGGCCCCGGCCGCTGGTGTTTCAGTGGTGGAGGCAGAGTGTGAGAAGAGCTCAGCCACCACCTACTTCTGGTACCGGGAGGCCTTGGATATCTCCGACTCCATCTCCGAGAGCGGCGGCCTCAACTGGAAGATGACCCTGTGCCTCCTCGTGGCCTGGAGCATCGTGGGCATGGCTGTGGTGAAGGGCATCCAGTCCTCAGGGAAGGTGAGTGGGCGGCGCGCGCCCAAGACCCACGCTGGGGAGGGGCGGCACGGAGGCCCAGACGGCAGAGAGCGGAGAATTCTGGGCCCCCCTCGGCAGGGCCCTTTGGTGGCTCAGGGCGGTGACACAGGCCCCCAGAGGGAGGGTTGGGAGGGAGCATGGCTGCCCCACCTGCAGTGGCTTTGCTGGGAAGCTGTTGCCCTGGCCCCCAGCTGCCTGCTCTGTCCATGTTCAGAACTACGGTACCGACCCAGGCACGTCTGTGTGGATTCCAGCCCCTCCAGTTCCCAAACCAAAGCTCTACAGAGCCTGCTCTGAGCACCTTGTGGGGAAAACCGGCAGCGTCCCAGGCCTGCAACAGGGGGCTGTGGGCGGGGGCGGCTGTGGGCACTCTGCCAAGGCCCCCTCACCTTTCCCCAGCAGACAGGCCCCTTCCTTGGTTGTCACTCACCAGTGTCACCGACTGCCCCGGGGCCCGCAGCCCACCCATCCTTGCACGGAGGAGGAAGGCGAGGCCCAGGGCTGAGGAAGCCCCTGTGCTGACGTCACACTGGCAGGAGACCGCGGCTGTTTGCCTGGTCTGCATGACAGCACTCGAGTGAGGAAGCCAAGCTAGATAGGGACCTCCAGTGACGAGCCTTGCTCTCTCCAGGGGCCCAGTCGTAGCTGGCACATTGTGGCGTTTGCAGGTTCTGCCACACGTGGGGACACATCTGGGCCACTTTGACCTTGAGAGCTAGGAATTAGGACCTCCATTTAGTAGATGAGGAGCTGGGGGCACATCGAGGCTAACAGCCCGAGGCCGCATGGCTGGCAGCTGGCAGAGGCAGGAGCCTGATCGCCCGCTCACACCTCAGCGCCATCCTGCCCCAGCAGCCCCCAGGGTCAGTCCTGGTGCAGCAGACAGTTTGTGAGCACCTCCTGCATGTGCGGCTCTGGATCAGGCACCCGGGCTGCAGACGACGCCTCTGCTGGGGCACAGCACACGCTCTGAGGTCCCCGGGGGCTGGAACCCTCTTGGTGTTTTCTGTGAGCAGCCCTGACTCCATGACTTGCATGTTTCTGTTGAAGGAGTTCTGGGGACAGGAAAGGACCTGCGGGGAGAAAATGAGGAGGGGAGAGCCAAGTGTTCCCTCACCCCGTCAGCAGCCCCTGGAGGTGGGGAGCTGGAGAGGGAAACACCCCAGGCACAGCCATGCTGGCTCCAGCGTGTCCTGCCCTTGTCTCTGTCTTGACTCAGGGCCAGACGCCCAGATGCATGCTGGGTTTGGCCTCGTGCCTGGTGGTTCCAGGGCTCTGATTTCTGCTGCCTGGTATCAGAAGAGGCTCCGGGGTCCCGGCTGTGAGCAGCGAGGGGGTGCCAGCTGCAGGAGGGGCCCTGCTGACCGTGGGTCCCTGTGCTCTCCGCAGGTGATGTACTTCAGCTCTCTCTTCCCCTACGTGGTGCTGGCCTGCTTTCTGGTCCGGGGGCTGCTGCTGCGAGGGGCGGTAGACGGCATCTTGCACATGTTCACTCCCAAGGTAAGCGTTTGGGACTCCCATACACGCCAGGGCCCATGCACGGGTCCACGGGCCATTCTGGTCCCATGAAATGGGATAAACATGCAGCACCTGTGTGTTGGGCTTCCCACGGGCCCTGCCCTCAAGTTTCCAAGGACAGGGACACACAGCAAGTTGAGCGACACTGGAAAATGGTTCAGGGGGATGTGACTTCTGAAATGAGCCTCTGGGAGCAGGTAGGAGCTCAGTGAGCACCAGAGGCTGTGGTCATCAAAGGGGACCGCGTGAGCAAGGGTGTGGAAAAGTACTGGATGTGCTTGAGGCCATGGTGAGGAGTCAAGTGTGGCTGGCACGTGGGGGCAGGGATCTTCATTCATGGGGTTTCCTGTGTGGACCTGTGATAGCAGGAACCAAGAAAATGCCCAAGAGAAGAAAGCTCCCCCTGGAATTCCCACTTCGTACCCAAGTCTGGGGGAAGTGGTGAATCACGTGGATCTGACTTTTTAAGATTTATTTATTTATTTGAAAGGCAGAGTTACAGAGAGGCAGAGAGAGACACACAGAGAGTGAGGTCTTCCATCCGCTGGTTCACTCCCCAAATGGCTGCTTCGGCTGGAGCTGTGCCATTCTGAAGCCAGGAGCCAGGAGCTTCTTCCAGGTCTCCCTTATTAGTGCAGAGGCCCAAGGTCTTGGGCCATCTTCCACTCCTTTCCCAGGCCTTAGCAGGGAGCTGGATCAGAAATGGAGCAGCTGGGACTTGAATTTGTGCCCCTATGGGATGCTGGCCCTGTAGGCAGCGGCTTTACCCAATACGCCACAGCACCGGCCCCATGTGGATTTGATTCTACCCTGACCCCATCAACTGTCTTAGTAGCTCAGTGAGGGACCTGAACAGGATCTCTGTTCACGCCTCAGAGGGCACAGCAGAGGCACAAGTGTCCCAAAGCTGCGTGCCCAGCTTTCCCCAAGGAGTCTGTCCCTCTCCATGGCCTTGACCCCCAGGACCACAGACCACTGGGCACAGCTGCCGTGAATCAGTCCCCTGAGAAATGAGAGAATTTCAAGTGCAGAGCCACATGCCCTTCACGTTGCCCCAGGCAGTGTACGTTAGCAGCCCCAGCTGCTCAGGCTGAGAAGTCCACCTCCGAACGCCAGCTGATGACTAAGCCACCAGCAGGGACCTGCGGGGTCTCCAGCTCACAGGCATGGGGTCAGAGCTCGGCCAGGCCAGCCTGAGGCCTTGGTGCTCAGTAGTGTCACATCACCTGTGATTGCACACACACACACAAGCACACATGCACAGTACACACATGTACACACACGTAGGCACATGCATACATACATGTATATACATGGCACACAAAATACACACATGCACAACACACATGTGCATGTGCACACACATGTACATAGCACGCACGCATGCACAGAGTTCCCCCAGGATGACACTGGGAGAGGAAACAGATCGAACAGAGTTTGAATTCCCATCCCCGCCTGGCTGCCCTGCTCTGCTGCTGTGTGTAGGCTCCTGGTGTTTGGGGGCCGGCAGCAGCCCTGGCGCATACCACGCCATGGTCAGCAGACAGTGCCTGAACTGGCCACAGGCATTCCTGGGTGGAGCAGCTGAGTTTCTGCGTGAACAATCACAAAAGTCCTCTTTGTGCCACACTCAGCGAGTCTCCCAAGGCTCGCATGGGAATCCCCGGCCCCGTGGCTGGCCGTGGGGTTGTTGTCAACACGTGATGTCTGGCAGAGAAGGACAAAGGCACCCTGGGTCTGTCTGGGGGGAGAGGGCCGTGAGTGGAAAGCCAGCTGCTCTTCGGCTGTGCTCTGCAGTCGTGATGAGTATGAAGGGGCCACTTGGGCCTGTGGGTCGCGCCTTCCTGAGCTGAGTGAGGAATCGGCACGCTCGGCCATGCCCACGGGAGTGCAGCAGCGCAGAGGCGTCTGGGTGGGCCCCTGCACTGTCGGGAGTCCTCAGAATGTGACTGCAGGAGCAAGCGGAGCAGATTCACCCCACCCCCCACCCCTGCTGGATTCAGATCTTTAAACACCTGTTCAATTATGGGATATCGCAGGCATAAAACCATATCTAGTCATACAGGAAACACTGAAGTAAAATAGCACCGGTGCCGATGAAGTGCCTGGTGGGGGGCACTGTCTGGGTCGGCTCCCGCTGCTGTAGCAGAATTGCCGTGCACCACTTACAAATAGTGGCGATGGAGACATGCGCTGCTCACAGTCGGGAGCCTGGGGAGGCCAGTGTCAGTGATTTGCTCCCCGGGTTGGAGACAGCACTTTCTTGGGTGAGTGCTGGGTTCAGCAGTTACAAAGACACTTGGGACACCCGCAACCCATATCAGAGGGTGTGGGTTCAAATCCCTGCTCTGCTTGCAACCCAGCTCCCTGCTAACGCACCTGAGAGGCAGCAGATGGTGACTTAAGTACGTGGAAGACATGGTGCCCTGGGTTCGGCCTGGCCCAGCCCTGGCTGTTGCAGGCAGTTGGGGAGTGAATCAGCAGAAGGAGGATCTCCCCACTCCTGCCCTCTTTCTCTTTGTTTCGTGCTGCCTTTCAAATAATAAGAATAAGACAAAGAATAAGAATACTAAAACTTACATGGCAGCACTTTCTTGTTCCGCCTGAAGGGCACAGGAGCTGGCTTGGACCTCTTTCATAAGGCCACTCACCCCGTCCATGAGGCTCCACCCTCTTCGCTTACTCACTTCCCCAAGGCCCCGCCTCCTCACGCCCTCACGTACTGTCATACATATATTAGCTCCTGAAGGGAGACACTGACATTCAGGCCATGGACAGCGCCATTCCGACTTTGGGCTTTATCCTGCCAATACATTTTGACATTTGTTGCACGTTTATGTGTATCCAAAGTACAGCATTCGTGTAAACTCTTCAACTTTACATAAATGCCATCATATTGTGTGGACCCTTCCGTGACTGGTTTTAGTTTGCTTAGCACTATTTTTCTCAGATTTACCTGTATTGATATACATAGCTCTAGTACATGCCATGGTCACTGCTGTATAGTATTCCACTCCAAAACTAAACTAAAATTCCTTTATTCAGCCTCTAGCTGATGACCATTTGCATTGTCCCCAGTTTTCACCATTGCCAATAATGCCACAATAAACGTTATTACACAGTGTGTCATGTGCACAGATTTCACTAGGGTACACACACACACACACACACACACACCCATATGAGGATGGAATTGCTGTCTCACAGGGTATGCAGTTTTACTAGATGTTGGCGAAATTGCTCTCCACAGTGGTTGCATCCGTTAACATTCCAGCAGTTTATATGGGAGTCCCAGGTGCTTCACCTTTGTCCGACTTCAATTTTTACCACTCAGGTGGATGCAAAATGGTTGATGTGCACTTCTTTCCAAAGCTCTTCCTGGATGTCCCAGGAGCCATGTGGATCCTCTTTAGCCTCTGAACAGAGGCCAGAGTCTTCAGGAGCTGAGGCTGTGACAAACCAAGGCCCTCGAGGGGTCCAGTCACCAGGCTTGTCCAGCTCTTTGAGGCTCAGGTTTGGGTACAGCCGCTGAGACCTTGTTCACTGGGCAGTTCCATGGGGCGGCTCCTGCTCTTGATCTTTAGAGCAGGGACGGAGGCTAAGGGGGCCTCAGAGGCCCAGCTCCTCCACCGAGGAACCTCTGACCCACTTACGCCACTCATCACTTGAGGCTGGTGAGGCCAGTGTTGAAGCTGGGGGGAGGCTCTTATTCACCCATCCCCCAAGTCACCTGCATGAAGTGTGACTCCACTCTGCAAAGCAGTGGTCTGCCAGTTGGCACTGTTGCAGCCCCGTGACTGCCCCAGCATGGGAGGCAGGAGGGAGGAAGGGCCCTGGGAGCTGTTTCAAGTTTTTCCCTAGAATGGTGCTATAGAAGGCAGGTCATTGCCCACAGCTGCTTGAGCTGTGCACTGTTCCATTCAGATGGACCACAGTGTGCATGCCATACCTAGGGCTCATTCCAGTTGGTAGCCCAGGCAGAGCCCAAGCAAATTTTTGGCCAGAGCATCTCCAAACCCATGTGGGAGAAGCATAGACTCTTTACTAATTATGCTAAATGACCTGGAAGGGCTCCCTCTCCTCAAGTCTTCCAGCATCAGAAGTAATTCAGGCTGTGGGACCGAGACTGTCTGTGCCTTCAAGCAGATGGTTAGCGGGTGTGAGGGGAGCAGTGTGGTCCAGATACAAGGATGACCCAGGAGCATCTTCGATGCAGCAGCAAGTCATGCTCCTGACTAATGAATTTGTGAATTCCCTGGGCAGCTTTTCTCCCGGTTACTTTCTGCTAAAAACCCAGGCCAGCATGGGAGTACCAGGCAGCCAATCCTGGGATTTGCTCAACAGAAAGTGCTGGGCTGTGATAGGCTTTCTCTTTTACAGGAAGTTGTGGTCTTATTTATTTGTTTGTCTACTTACTCATTTTTACGTGTTTGAAAAGCAGAGATAGGCCAGCGCCGCGGCTCAATAGGCTAATCCTCTGCCTGCGGCACTGGCACCCCGGGTTCTAGTCCTGGTCGGGGCGCTGGATTCTGTCCCGGTTGCCCCTCTTCCAGGCCAGCTCTCTGCTGTGGCCCGGGAGTGCAGTGGAGGATGGCCCAAGTGCTTGGGCCCTGCACCCCATGGGAGACCAGGAGAAGCACCTGGCTCCTGGCTTCGGATCAGCGCGGTGCACCGGCCGCAGCACACCAGCCACAGCAGCCATTGGAGGGTGAACCAACGGTAAAGGAAGACCTTTCTCCCTGTCTCTCTCTCTCACTGTCCACTCTGCCTGTAAAAAAAAAAAAAAAAAGGCAGAGATAGATGATAGATGTATAGATAGATGAGAGAGAGAGGAAGAGAGAGAGAGTGACAGAAACCTTCTGTTGGCTGGTTCACTTACTCAAATGCTTGCTTTGGCCAGGGCTGGCCCAGGCCAAAGCTAGAATCCAGAAACTCACCCCAGGCCTCCCATGTGCATGGCAGGGACCCATCTACCCGAGCCT